ATCTCCATCTCTCCACCTCGACCGTCCGTGAAGCCCTCACCTTCTCCGCCGTCCTCCGTCAACCCGCACACGTCTCTCGTCAAGAGAAGGTCGAATACGTCGAGGAGGTTATCAAGCTTCTGGAGATGACTGAATACGCTGATGCCATCGTCGGTGTCCCCGGTGAAGGTCTCAACGTTGAGCAGCGCAAGCGTCTTACTATCGGTGTGGAACTGGCTGCTAAGCCTGCTCTTCTTCTCTTCTTGGACGAACCCACCTCTGGACTCGACTCGCAAACCTCTTGGGCAATTCTCGATCTCTTGGACAAGTTGAAGAAGAACGGTCAAGCTATTCTCTGCACCATCCACCAGCCTAGTGCCATGTTGTTCCAACGTTTCGATCGTCTTCTCTTCTTGGCCCGTGGTGGACGCACTGTCTACTACGGAGATGTCGGTGAAAACTCGCACGTCCTAGTCGATTACTTCGTTCGCAACGGTGGTCCTCCTTGCCCGCCTGCCGCCAACCCTGCTGAATGGATGTTGGAAGTAATTGGTGCCGCTCCCGGTTCGCACACAGACATCGACTGGCACCAGACCTGGCGCGACTCCGCTGAGTACCGTGAGGTCAAGCGCCATCTCGCCGAACTCAAGTCCGAACGCGGCCAAGCTGAGGCTCTTCAACGCACCATGTCTGCTCAGAAGCGAGAGGACAAGGCTGCCTACCGCGAGTTCGCCGCACCTTTCATGGTTCAACTTCGCGAGACCATGTCCCGTGTCTGGACGCAGTACTGGCGCACACCCTCGTACATCTACTCCAAGACCTTCCTCTGCACGCTCTCGGCTCTCTTCATCGGTTTCTCTCTCTTCCAGATGCCCAACACGCAGACTGGTCTCCAGAACCAAATGTTCGGTATCTTCATGTTGCTTACTATCTTCGGTCAATTGGTCCAACAGATCATGCCTCACTTCGTCACTCAGCGTGCTCTGTACGAGGTCCGCGAACGCCCCAGTAAGACCTACTCTTGGAAGGCCTTCATGATTTCCAACATCGCTGTCGAGCTCCCATGGAACTCGCTCATGGCCGTGATCATCTACTTCTGCTGGTACTACCCCATTGGCCTGTACAACAACGCAGCGCAAACCGACAAGGTCACCTACCGTGGTTTCCAATTCTTCCTCTTCGTCTGGATGTTCCTGATCTTCACGTCGACATTCACACATATGGTTATCGCTGGTATCGACTCCGCTGAGACTGGTGGCAACATTGCCAACTTGATGTTCTCTCTCTGCTTGATCTTCTGTGGTGTCCTTGCCCAGCCTTCCACCTTCCCCCGCTTCTGGATCTTCATGTACCGCGTCTCGCCCTTTACGTACATGGTGTCTGGATTGCTGTCTGTCGGCCTGGCCAACGCCAATGTGCAGTGCGCGCAGAACGAGTTGATTCACTTCGACCCTCGCGAAGGCGAAAACTGCGGTCAATACATTGAGGCCTGGAAAGCATCTGCCGGTGGTAAGATGACCAACCCCGAGGCCATGACCGACTGCAACTTCTGCGCTATCGAGGACACCAATGTTTTCCTCCGCAGCATCTCTTCCGACTACGGCGACGCCTGGCGCAACTTTGGGTAAGTCACTTCTCTCTACATCTTCCATTTCGAACCTGTTACTAACTCAACCTCACAGTATCCTCTGGGTCTACGTCATCTTCAACGTCGTCGCCGCCCTCGCCTTCTACTACCTCCTCCGCATGCCCAAGCCCAAGAAGGAGAAGAAGAACAAGAAGGAAGTCGGCGCCCACGCCGGCGCCGTCAAGGAACAGCATCTCGACCAGCCCTCGCACGTCGGCAGCAGCCTCAACTCCAACACTGAGCAACACGCCGAGAAGAACACCGAGACCGCGCGGTACGCTTCCATTACCGGAACAACCACACCGCCAACACAAGCACATGAGATCTCAGAAAAAGCCTAATCGTCCTTTATGACTCTGCTTTACTGCTTTTCGTACTTTCGTTTTTTATGGGCGTTCTCGCTGCATGACAACACATTAGTTGTATACATGTTTGGGTGCGATATCGTTTATACCTTTTTTTCAAGACTTAGATCTACTGTTTCTCATACGCTCAAGCGCTGAGCACATATCTTATCAAGCATGTTTTGTTTCTTACATGTATGTACATACAACCTCACCTAATCCAACAATGGTCCGCTTGCCAGCTTGCGTACCATTACGTTGATATGACTAGAATGTTGAACTTGATGGTTTTTACTAGAAGTGTTTGTGGTTGTGAGACGTCTGAAATGCCATGTATATGATGTGATGAAGACCAGCGGCATCTAGCCACGATTCTCATGTGACAAGTACCCCCATCTACGCAACAGTATCACTCTCACTATGCGCCAACAACCCCGCCCTCTCCCCCCTCTCACTCCCCACGCTCCTCCAAACCGGCTCCTCAGCCCTGCCCATCTCAATCCGCCGCGCAGCCACAAACCCCCAATGCCACGCCAACCCGCTCACAAACCCCACCGCATCATTCTTGAACGTCAGCAACGCAGCCACCGTAACAAGCATAACCATCCACCTCTCCTTCCTCTCCCTCTCATCCAACTCCTTGACCCGCTTGCCATCCCACGTCATATCCCTCTCCAGCACCCTCAAATCCCTTGCATCGGTATTAATACTCTCCCCCACCTTCGCTAGTTCCACGCCCGCAGCCAGAACCAGCACACCCAACAGCGCTTTGGGTATATCATGTAACGTGCTGATAATCGCATCCGCTTTCCAAAACGCAATAAGCCCAAGCATGAATTTGACTGCCCCCAGGAAAATTATACTGCTCCCGCTCCTAGCGCCGAATCTGAACTGGCCGGCCAGTCCACCGGAACCGTGGCACGCGGGCATGGCGCCGAACCAGCAGCCCAGTAGATTGATGGCCGCGACTGAGATGCCTAGTTCCGTTACGGTGGGGGCGGCGGGGTAAGGCGGTGAGGGCAGGAGGTCAGACGATAGTGCCGAGGCGGCGATGACGGAGTTGAGTAAGGTGAGCGGGAGTTGGCCGAGCGATGCTGTTGTTGTTGCCTCGAGGAAGTCTTTGGCCGAGGGATGCAGGATGGGGATTGCGGCGTGTGGTACCTCGACTTTGTCGTCGGTTGGGGATGCGAAGGAGAGGAAGATGCCGATTAGGAAGATTATCATCGCGTAGGGTATGCGGGGGTAGGGGAATGTGCATAGTAAGAGGGTGACTGCTGCGATGGCTATGAAGAGGTTGTCGCCCCACCATGGTCCCGTCCAGGTGAGTGATGAGAGGAGTTTTGTCCCTGTGCTCAAGCATAGCGATAGGCCTGCTCCGACTTGAATCCCTTTTACCACGGGAATAGGCGTGACGCGATTTGCCCAGTTAATCAATCCTGTGATGCTGAACACACCGACCAGGCCCGCGACCACTAGCCCAGCAGCTGCATTCTGTTCCAGCGTGAATTGGCGTGCGATTGCCACGGCTGCGATGGCTTTCATGGGTTGCACTGGTAGTGGGATGCCGAAGGCGAGGCCTGTGAGTACGTTTGCTGCGCCGGTGAAGAGGAGGGTTGAGGGGAGCGATATCGAGTTTGTCAGGACCAGGGTTGTCATGAGCGGAAGCAGTGTGCCTAGATCACCCAGCGAACCAGAAAGTTCGGCCAACGGTTGCGATTTTATCGTCTCGATGTTATGCAGCTGAGTGCGGCGGAAGCGCCGCGTCGTGTTGCGGACTTGCTGGAAGAAAGACATGACTCGACTCGCTGGAAGCTGGACGCTGGAAATGCAGGGACTGAACGCGCAGGAAGGAAATACACAGAGTGACAGGCAAATGGAAATCTAAGATAAAGGGATCATGCTGGCAGAGGAAGTTTGTGTACATCGTGGAAGCGGTGGGCAAACACGGAAATGTCGGGTCCATGCTCGATAAGCTCCAGCGCACGAGGAGCAAACGACGTCATCAGCCTCAATCGAAGGTCTCGTGAACCACCTCACCGCCTGGACGTACGACGCTACAACGCGCATTTCCTGCGGCGGTGTCTTGAAAGGGGACCATGCGCATGGACGTGCTCCGAAGGAATCGATGGGTAGGCTGGAAGTTACTGTAGAGGGCAATTTGAGGGTTCCGGTGGCGTGCATGAAGGGGCACAGAGGGCACGACGGCGTTGGACGGTCATTGGATGGATCGGTAGGCGTCGCGTGGAAAGGGCACGAAAGGGCAGCCGTGATCGATGGTTTTACCAGAAGTTGCCGAAGAGGGTATGTTGGGGGCACCGGATCCTCGCCGCAATCGATGGTTTTACAAGAACTTGCCCAACGTGGTGGTTTCGGGTGGTGAGCTTGCAGGGTACGACGACCCCGCTAAGTTTTGTACGGCCTGTCAAAAGGTAATCCTGCGATCGATGGTGGTTGGGAAGTTGCCTGAGGTGGTGGCTTCGGCATGCAATGCGCATGGGAGGGTACCGTCGCACAACTGCAATCGATGGTTCTTTCGAAGTTGCCTGATTGATGTAGCGGATTCCTTGTACCAAGTGTCTTTTCGACGGGAGAGTAGAAGAATGCGTCGGGCAAGAGCACAGGTACCTACATGTTGTACTTGCTACGTTCGAGCATTCCAAGCACAATTAGATCAGGAATTAACAGATTTCGCCGACATCTCTCGACATTATCTTTCTCGATGCGGCAGCTATAAGCGCAGCTAAACAGTACCTTGAACGAGGTTGTTTCTCTTGGCAGCGGTTAAAATTTCTCGTTCGATCAACTGGGAAACTGCTTGAACCTTGTGCAGTGTCCACGCCTCGCTGGATCTGCGACGATTAGATTCCAGCGAATCAGTTCCACATATGCGGCTTCCATGTCGAATGTGGAGAAAATGCGCGTCTATATATTCCATGAGCTTTGGTATACATGGAAGCTGCTTGCGTCGTCGCTCTTCAACACTTTGCATTCAGACCCTCTCGTACACCAGTCCTTGATCTTTAGGAGATTCTGACGTCCCACGAAGCAAAATGAGCCCATCAGCCATCAATACGGTCACTAGCGCTCTTGCCTCATCCACGACTCAAACATCAACCGCGCAAACACCGGCACTCTTCTCTCTCGCTGGGAAGACAATCGCCATCACAGGAGGTGGTCGTGGACTCGGAATTACCCTTGCATTCGCTGTCGTGGAAGCAGGCGGACACGCAGCCTGCCTAGACATCCTTCCAGAACCAAGCAACACAGAATGGCAAGCCTTGACGAAGCTTGCTAAACAACTCGGCACTACAGCGACATACCGCAGATGTGACGTTACTAGCGAAGCGGAAGTCACTCAAGTTCTCGATGAGATATCACGCGAGGCTGATGAGCAAGGCGCGCCTTTGAATGGCATGGTCGCATGCGCGGGTATCCAACAAAGAGTGCCAGCGCTCGACTATGAAGCATCAGACTTTGAGCGCATGCTACGAGTGAACGTTGTCGGCGCGTTCATATCGGTCAAAAGAGCTGCGAGGATACTGAAGGACAAGGGTACTGGTGGCTCCATCGTGCTCATCGCTAGTATGTCGGGTCAGGTCGCCAATAGGGTGAGTATATTGCCTCCGTCTTGAAGCATTGAGTGGATCTAACAACAATCTCAGGGTCTTACATGCACAGCCTACAACGCCAGCAAATCAGCTGTACACCAAATGTGTCGCTCGCTTGCGCAAGAGTGGGGCCAGTATGGTATTCGGGTGAACACGCTTTCGCCAGGTGTAAGTCTATTCACATCCCAATATTCAAACATACCACTAACTACATCCGCAGTATATCCGAACTGCGATGACCGACGAACTTCTCGCAGCAGATCCAGATGTAGAGAAGACGTGGATGGCTGGCGCACTACTTGGGAAGCTTGGTGTACCGGATGACTTCAAAGCACCAGCAGTGTTCTTGCTAGCAGAAGGAAGTCGATTCATGACTGGTGCCGACCTCAGAGTGGATGGCGGTCATTGCGCGTCTGCCTAAGTTTTTTGAGGTCGGTGTAATCTGCTCAAATCCCCGTTGGCGGTAATGCTGATGTTTGGAGTGGACGACTCATGATCGTAGACCCATGGTTCGCTATTATAATGTATGGTAGAACCCACTATGAGCAAGATCTCAATACTTTTAAGACAACTTTCTTCACTCACAATTCCTCCACTACAACACCTCTCACAAAACTTGAAACAGCCTTCACACAAAACCCTCGACTCCAAAGCAGCCATGTCGGACGACAACACCTTCATGTCATACGATCAGTCATTCGACTGCCCACCTTCTTACTCTACGCATGAACATGTGTCATATACTGCATCAGACAACTTCTGCAGTACCGCTTCCCACCCACCAACACACAACACTCACGATCACATCCTCTCCCCTCTACAGCCCGCCCATTTCCACGACGCCCACCATTCATCACACCACCATCCCGCACCCAGCGACCCAAACTACGACATCGAAGCCGCATCGCACTTAATAAACGCTTCCAGCACTACGAACATCGCTCTCTCCTCGCTGCAATCAAATGCCGCAGAGGTCCAACGCACAACTCGCATACCAGCAGCTGAGGCCCCAGCCCATACACGCAGCACTGCACTCACGACGCCGAAGCGAAGACCGAATTCTGAGGAAGACGTCTGCTGCTGCTTCACTATCGTTCTGGCCTTGGTGATCGTCGTTATCGTCTTGTCTGTAATCATTTTCAAAGCTAAGAAGGATCTGAAGAATGGGAAGGTTCAAGGTATAAGTGCGGATGGGAGACTGAGTGGTGACTGGGATGACTTGAATGCCTTGAACGATGCCCTGGATGGACTGTATAGGGGGAATTGGGGGCGTTGAGTGGGCTGCGAGTTGCTTTGGTGGAGTTGGGATTTGGGAGGGGGTGGGCTGTAGGAGGGGGTCTACCTAGGTTGACATGTTGCTTTCGATGACGACGGACAACCTGTCGCTGCTTTGATCTTGGTTCCAAGCTCTCCTAATTCGGTAGATATAATTCGGTTCCATTCGAACCAGACACACATCACATGCTTACACCGGCCTGGTGACTTTAATCGTTGAAATGAGAGGTGTAGGGAGGGAGCTGAAGCGTTTCGCTGTATATGCTCTGTATGCCATTGCAGAAACTGTAAGTTCCATGGACTATCTTACAGAACTTGCTTGTGTTATGGGGTCTAAAGTCGCCAATGCGGTCAGCCCAACTAGGCGATCACACGGCAAGTGTATACGGAGCGGACCAACGGCGCGATCGTGCTCAAGTATGACGGCGTAGGATTTACTCCGCAAACTCTATATTCGTCATCCCCTCATTTCAAACTCTCCGCGCTCATGTTATTCCGGGATGCGATGATCACTCCTACTAGGTCTGCTTAGTCCAGCTCTAGGCCGCGCTACAATCGATGAATGCGACACCAGCAGCCCGATGGCTACCCAAGTATCGACGGTGTATGGAATGCCTTGGGCGACGATGAGGATAAATCCGAGCCGAAGGGGAGTTTGTCGTTCTTGACATTGCGATGAATAAGGCGACTCAGTTTAAGGTCGCCAAACGGAAGAACCAACGACACGGAAGTCACGTAGCCGTAAGACACGGCAGGAGCGATTGGTTAGCCAGCTTATTAAGCTTGTCATTTCCAAACAATGCTATATCGTGACGTCTCCTATGCCACGTGAGCGAGGCGCTCTAAAGAGCAAGATGCATATTGCATTTCCCCTAGCAGCCAATACATGTTGCTAGCGCAAGGGGTAGCCACATGGCAGCGCTAGGAGCGAGGCGACGATCCCCGCACCGTCGTTCAGCTCACGTAGTGCATATCGGTTAGAACAATCGTTGTGCTTGTTGCGTGGCGTTCGAATATTCAGCTCTCTTCATGGCGATATAGTCAACTTGAACCGCAGTCTGCGAACGCCGAGATGCTTGGTTCCGGCAGCGGCGATGTTGACACAGGATATCGACCACGCTGTCAACAATCTCCACAGCAGGCCTATGCAAAGTAGGAGGCCTTGCGACAATATCCATCCTCATAGATCCCCGCGGCGAGTTTCAGATGGACCACGGCCCGTGGCCCATCGGAAAAGCCGCGTTAATCCGCGCTCGAAATACTCCATGTGGATTGTTGGTTACACCAGATCCGGCGACAGCACGACTGCGGCGCGGATAGCATGGCAAACCGCATCAAGCGCCATGAAACCTGAGATCGGGGCGTTCTAGATGTGGCCCAGTGGAGTCCCACAAGGCCAGAAGACGCGTAATTGCTTTTGAGATGCTGCGAGGCGAGGTATCGTGGTGGCATCGTCTAGGGCTGGAGGGCGATTGGTGTAGCCACGTCGTTCTTGTGCGACTCTTGAGATTAGTCGTCGAGGTGGTGGTGTTCGAGGTAGGAAGAACAAACAAGTAGGCTAGATGTCCTTGATTAGTATTTATTGGGTCGTGATGGCGGCGAGTGTTTGCCATGGGCGTAGACTACCCCAGCAGAAGGAACGTGCCAATTAGTATACTCGTAGCGTTCATGCAAGATCGTATGTATAGCAAGCGATGCGTTTGTTCCCCGGAGGTGGTGTGTAGAAAGCCGTTTGTTGGTGAATGTTGGGCAAGGGGCTCCTTGCGATATATTTGCGACCCCATGCAGTTAATCCCCAATGCCCTGGCTGCCGGGTTCGCTCCTGCATGTGAGGAGAAGCGACCCAACGATGACACGGGTGTCACCAACGTCAATATGGATGGTCGTGTTGCGCAATGGAGGACGAAGGCAGACGACATATGCAGGCGAAACAGCGCTGCAGGCAGTGGAAGGCTGACGGCATTCCAAGGACTCCACTTGGTGCTATCAGAACTTCATTAACGCGACTAGGCGAGTCTCCGTCAACCGTCGCATGGGCTAGCTCCACCTTTATTTCCAACACGAGCGACCCATTCCGAAGATTGACAAGATTCCATTTGCAATCGACGAGGTGCGCCCGTGGTGTGCGTCTCGTCAGCTACGATAACAGAGATTCGGTCCTAGATACCCGTGGACAAGAGGCGACTTCCACACGTCGTGGCTGCGGGCGCCGGCCGGCGACCTCCGAATAGCGCGTCCGCCCTGATACGCCAGGGCTGGCGTGGCTTCGAGGGGGAAAAGCATGTGTATGCGCCAAGATGAGGTGTCGCGAAAGGCGAGCTGCAGTGCCCGGGACTTCACGACGTTCCCCAGGCTTAGGCTGAGGGAAGCGGCCGGCCACCTTCACGCGCAGCACGCCGAGACAGCCTAGCTTGCCGCGAAGTGGAATCGCATGGGCCGCGCGACTAGTCCAACTAAAGCAGGGCTTGATCGGCCTGATATGGGTCATTGGTTCTTCGCGGGAGGTCGAACGCGACAGGGTTGGTCGTCGCCGCTGGTCCTTATCTTTTTGGTGCGGGATACACTTTCATTCACATCCGCCGTCCAGGCCCTGTGCTACGAACGCACCCTGACTTAAAAGACTCGCTTCGCCTTCACTGGTAAATCGAGCAGAGCTTGACGTCGATCCTCTCGCCGGTCTACTCCGCATCAACTGTACCTCTTCATCGCACACAACTCAACTCAATTTTGCGATTATCAACCGCGGTGCCGTCGAGAAAAAATTCTGCCACAATGTCGGGCTTTGTTCACAAGGTCAATGGCGCGGTCGCGCGCTCCGCCGTCGGACGGTACTTTCGCCTCGAGGGATCAGGGCATGTATGTATATCGCATGTCGATAGTCGGTACATGCACTAACAGCCCTATAGCCCAAAGAGCGCAAGGGGAGCTACTTCTTCACTGAGTTCCGCGCGGGACTAGCCACCTTCTTCGCCATGGCTTATATCATCTCTGTTAACTGTATGTCCATTGCGGGATGTCGTTGACAGAACCGCATCTGATGACCATGTGTAGCATCCATCGTGTCAGACACTGGTGGTACTTGCGTGTGCCCAGGCCTCCCGGACGACCCCATTTGCGAGACCAACCCACAGTACGCCCTCTGTGTCCAGGAAGTCAGACGTGATCTGGTTACCGCGACCGCTGCCATCTCCGCTTTGACTACTTTCTGCATGGGCTTGTTCGCCAATCTGCCCATTGCCCTGGCTCCGGGTATGGGGCTGAACGCTTACTTTGCGTACACCGTAGTTGGTTTCCATGGTACAGGTACGTCGTACCAATGCGCCATTCCCCGTTCCCGTTTATGTATCCCCGTTATGCGGTTCCCTAATTAGGTCTGCTTACCGGCGCCACGGGTCGTACCAGTTGATCTTCATGGAACGTTGCTAATTGCTTTTTAGGCATGGTCCCCTACGAGGTCGCTCTCACTGCCGTATTTGTCGAGGGTTTTGTCTTTGTTGGTCTTACTATGCTGGGTATCCGACAATGGCTTGCACGAGCTATTCCTGCTAGTATCAAGCTCGCCACCGGTGTCGGTATCGGACTATACCTGACTATTATTGGTCTCGCCTACTCCGCTGGTATCGGTCTCATCACCGGTGCTCAATCGACCCCTCTCGAACTCGCCGGTTGCGTTGCCGCAGACCAGGTTGATGGCGTCTGCCCAGGAAGTGTCAAGATGAGGAGCCCAACCATGTGGATCGGTATCTTCTGTGGCGGTGTCTTGACCGTCATGCTTATGCTGTACCGCGTCAAGGGTGCCATCATCATCGGCATTCTCCTCGTTTCCATCATCTCGTGGCCTCGCCCAACAAGCGTCACCTACTTCCCGTACACCGAGACTGGCAACTCCGCTTTCGATTTCTTCAAGCAGGTCGTTACTTTCCACCCGATTGGCAAGATTCTTGCTGTTCAGCAGTGGAACATCTCGGAGCACGCTGGTCAATGGGGTCTAGCTTTCATTACCTTCCTCTACGTCGATATTCTGGACTGTAAGTTGCGCGTTAGACACTTTTTGAGCAATATGCTGACATCACTAGGCACTGGTACCCTCTACTCCATGGCTCGTTTCTGCGGTGTTATCGACGAGCGCACCCAGGACTTCGAAAA